CACAGACAATATTTAGAGAGCTGGGAAGCAGCGATGAGTTTCCAGCCCAACTGGCCATCAGGGATACATCATCTCTGGGCAACTCACCCATTCAACACATGGCATCACTACTGTTCTGCAAAACAGTGCAGGCCTGTGCTTATGCAGGGGGCGCACGGAGAGTGCATGGCTTTGCTCTGGGTGGAAAGCCCATGTGACTTCACCTTTCATTGCAAGCAGTGCTGCAGGGACCAGGCGTCCACACTGGAATTAACCTTTGGCTGCTCATTGCATTCATCCTGGGGGGAATGAACATATCAGGGGAGTTAAACATGGAGGATGCTAATCTAAAGGCTAGCAGTGTGCAAAGCAACTGATTTTCAATCTGTGTCTTTTGCATGTGTTCACCCTTAAATCCATCCTGGTTTGCATTAATGTTCCATTTTAAAAAACGAATATAGATATTTGCATGGAAATAACGGAAATAACGGAATACACATTTTAATGTCTTCTTGCCAAAATATGATTTCTAAATTCATTAATTTAAAAATGGGGATTGGGAAATGTATTATGCTCCATTGTTTTAACTGAGAACTGTTTTGGAACATTCAGGACATGCAAAACCCCTGGAAACTTACCCTGCAATCCACACATGCCTCTGGGAGGTCATGCAAATGGATAAAGATCAGATTTGTCAAGCATCCCTATCCAAGCCCATTGCACGGATGCACGTGCACGTGCACACACTCACACACACACACAGCCTTTTAGGTTGTGAACAGCCACTGTGCAATTGGCTGCTCACTGATGGAGTCTCCTCTAGTTAGCTCTGTGAAGCCAGGGGCTGTGGGGAGAGGACTCACAGCCCTGCCCCACAAGTTAGTTGGGCACAGCTGCCTCTTGGCAGAAACTTCTCACTTCTCCTGGCTACTGGTTTTGTGGAGCTACTGGGCACAGACCATCACAGTTAGCCTGGCTCAAGCTAAAGGAGCTGGCTCATTTACCTTATTATAGAGTTACCTAAAGGAGCGTTTCCTTCCATATGTTTTCTCCCATCCCTTAAGATCTGGGTCTGAGGCTCTTCTCTGGGAATTCTTGTTGAAGGAGATTAGGAGGGTGGTTACCCGGAGAAGGGCCTTCTTTGCAGTGGTGCCCTGACTGTGGAATACGCTCCCCAGAGAGGTTCGCCTGGCACCGTCACTTTATTCTTTTCAGTGCCAGGTTAAAACCTTTTTATTTTCCCAATATTTTAAGGTTTGACTGTTATTTTGATATGGGTTTTATTGTCAGCAATTGATTAGGATTCTGTGTTTTGTTCTTTGTCTTCTGTTAACTGTCTCAAGATTTCACTAAAAAACAAATTTACCCTTTTGCCGACACATTTCCTACTCTCTGTCCTCTGAATCAGGGATAGATAGAAGATAGATCTCCAGATCTGTTTGGACTTCAAGTCCCAGCATTCCTTGGCCGTGCCAGCAGGGGCTTCTGGGAAGGCCATGCTAGCGAAGGCATTTCTAAATCTGGATACCTCCCTTGGGCCCATCCCTATGTTAGACTCTGATGGAAAATCGAGTTGAAGAGAACTGGTCTCCAAGCACAGCCATGTATCTTCCATGGCCAATCCTGCTTTGCCAGGCTCCAGGGAGCCAGGCAAGAGACTGTTCACATCCTTCCATCTGACCAGCCCTTTTCAAGGAGGAGGAAATGGACATCTGTCTGGATTGTGAATGAACTTGGTATAATTAAAAGGGTTTAATTATAAGTAACCTTTTGAAGTGAAGGGGACTTAAGTCGAGCTACCATTGGATACAATCCAAAGGATCCAAGTAACCATGACAAAGATGCTTACATTACATTGTTTGCTTGTTTATTTTGCTACTTAAGGTTGCATCTTCACAAGGGAAGCTCTTTGAAACTAGCTATGATTTTGTCCTGACTTCATTAATATATTTGTACCTCTCCTTTCCAAACCCAAAAGGGTGCCCCAGGCTCTTGCCTCCAGCACCTCCTTGCCTTGGGTAAAACTACAGGCATTTCATTTCTGCAAGGAATGGTGGTGACCATGGGGGTGTTTCTCTGAATCCACCCCCCCCTTTAATTGCATGAAGGGGAGCAGGGCCACACTGCTGCCTGTGTGCACTCAATGCAGACCATGTAAGATGGTGTCCCTCCCTCTACAGACACAGAAGCCAGTTGGACCGGCTGCTGAATCTTTCTTCAGCACTGGAGACGGGACAGCTCCTTCCACTGTCTCTGAGGGCATCAGGCTGGTTTAGGGGGTGCAAGGCAGGCCTCCTGGCACACAGCTCCCTCTTCCAGCCCCTTGCTGCTACCTTCCCACATCTGCCCCCAGATGCGACTGCCTTCCTTTGCCTGATGGTAGGGCTGGCCAGTGGCACAACCCTCTGCTCTTATTCACTGGCAGGGAGCTGTGTGGAAGCCTCTTCCTGCACACACAGGGCTTTTCAGGGATTTGCTAGTAGTGCTTTGTTTGAATATTGTAATTCTGTTCCGAGAAGTTCTGTTAAGCCCTTAAGATTTTGCAATTAAATCACAGTCCTCTTCCTCTGAATTACTGATTCTAGGGCTGTTCAAATTGGTGGTATAGCATTTCAAAGCAATCTCTTTGTATTCTCGAATCAAGACAGGGGTAGATAGCTCTCTGTGTTACAGATCAATTTCTAAATTAAACGTGTTGGTGAATATAAGCCCAAATACAAAACAGGTGTTTCCTCCTATATCAAGAGGGACTGTTCCAATGTCTAATTCTGGGATTCTGTCTTCAGTGATGCAGAACCGTTGGCCTTAGTCTGAGCATGAGGTTATCGCTGAATGCAGCTTCTTACACAGCAATGTACACAGCGTACACTAGTGTTGCGCAAGCATTTTTTTAGTTAGTTAATTAATTTCTATACCACCCAACAGCTGAAGCTGTCTGAGAATTTCACAGCAGCATATTTCAAAACAGTATAAAATATACCAATTAAAACATGTTAAAACATCATAAAAGTTAGCCATACAAAATTTAAAACCAAATAAAAGCAGTACAAAACCAAATTATACAGTAAAAAGACCCTATTGAACCCTGTCTACCAAGCAGTAGGCCCCAGTAGCTAACTATATGCCCCGCAGTAAAGAACAAGTCATCCAGAGCGCTGCAGGTGCCAAGAAGATACTAAAGTTGGTGCCAGAGGGGCCTTAGAGGACAGTTTGTTGCTTAACTGGGTGGCCACCACTCACAAGGCCCTTCTCCTTGTTGCCACCGTCTGAGCCTCCCTTGGAGGTGGCAGTTGGAGAAAGGCCCCAGAACTTGATCATAGTGTCCAGTGCAAATACATATTGTGTAGATAACAAACAACCATGTATTCATTAATACCTTTTATTCATTTATTGCATTTTAATTTTTCCTAACAGCCAAAGCTCTCTGGGTGATTTTCGAAGATTAAAACCTTAAATGTGTAACATAAGAACAGTAATATAAGAACCATCTAAAGCCAGTGTACAAAGATATAACCATCTGCAATCTCAGGTTGGTGCCAGGTGGGCCTCCCTGAGGAAAGGGTCCCTGAAAAGGCCCTCTTTCCTATTGCCATCCTTTGGCTATCCCTCAGAAAAGGCATCTAGGATTGGGCCTCAGATGTTAACTGTGGTGTGTGGGTGAGTTCATACTGGAGGCGCTGCATCACTGGGTATTGTAGCCCCAAGCCGTGTAACTGAAACCAGTGTCCTGAACTGGGTTTGGAGAAGTGCAGCAAGTCAGCGCAAATGGTCCAAAATCAGTGTTGCATGTTATGCATCGTATGCTGTATGTTACATGGACACCCTGAATGATGTGGTGGTTCGACCCTTGGACCGGAACTGGGGAGGTCTGGGTTCTAGTCACCACTCAGCCACGAAGCACACGGGGTTGTTGTGCTGAGGATAAAAGGGAGGTATGTAAGCCACCCCGGATTTTTCACAAGAGGGAAAAGGCAGAATGTAAAAGCAAAGTGGTGATGATGATGAGGATGAGGATGGCGGAGACCTTTTGTCTCCTGTTTTCAATCTGACCATTGCATTTTGCACAAGATTTATTTATTTATTTTATTTATTTTTCAATTTAAATCCTGCCTTTTTCCTACAAAGGGCTCAAGGCAGCTTTCATCATTCTCCTCCTCCATCTTCTCCCCACAACAACAACCCTGATGCTGACGAAGTTTCTGCACCGCAGCTCCTGATCGTGGTCAGGTGACACAAATAGCTGAACATGGTTATAATGCATTTTGGGGTTTCCTCTCTGGAGGCTCAACACAGGCTCCCAGCTGCAGGGGTTGGATCCAGACCCCAAATTCTCCTGTGAAAGAGAATTTCTCTTGTGGAATAGACCTCCGTAGCACCCTCACAAGACTGGGAGGCCCACTGGAACCAGTTGAGAGGGTGGGCAGGAGGCTGTGGAGATTGAGAAGCTGTGCTCCACAAGCAGCAGCCTTCTCCTGGTAAAGCAGGGCTTCTGGATCCGACACAGTACAAACAACTGGCGACTCAGGTAACTGCAGGGCAGGAAAGGTGCGAGTCAAGCCCACATTCTTTGTGACTAACAACATAATATCGCAATAAGGTGACGGAGCACCGAAGCTGGTGTGGCGGAGCAGCGAGGGTGCTGGGTGGAACTCAGGATGTGTGGGCTGCATTCCCCACTTGCCCATGACGCTCCCTGGGTGGCTCTGTGCCAGTCGCTGGCACTCAGCTGCTGTGGAGATAAACAGAGAAGGAAGGAGATCGTGCGCCCTGCCTTGGGCTCCTTGCAAGAGGAAACAAGGCAGGATATAAATGTAATGATAAAGGCACCTTTATCTTTCAGGGAAGCATGGTTTTACTGAATTGCACATGAGCCATGCATTAATGCATTTATTTATGGCTCTCGTTCTTTTATTAATATACAATACATTTATGAGAGCACAGAAGTTTGCATTAGATCAGAAAATAAATGGTACATGATTGATGAACTTTTTCATGCTGCTCCTCTTCTCTTTTTCACCTAGGAAAACTTTTTGGCTTCAGGATGCCTCGGTTGAGTCTTCTGCCATACAGAAAGCAGTCTCTGCCACAGGAAGATCCTGATGCCGTGATCGTTGACTCATCGAAACGCAGCGACGACTCCGTGGCTCTGAAGCACTTCAAGTCCCCAACAAAAGAGAGCTGCAGCCCCTCCGAAGCAGATGACACCAAGGCACTGATCCAGCCAAGCACATGTTCCCCTCCGGTGAATTTATCAGGGCCCCTGGACCATTCGTCACCGAAGCGACAGTGGGACCGGCTGTACCCGGACATGCTGCATTCCAGCACGGCCCTAACCCATGCTCCGTCAAAGGAAAGCATTTGCAGCATTCGGAGAGCATCTTCCGTGCACAACATTGAAGGATTTAACATTCACCCCAAGAATGTGTTTAGGGACCGGCATGCTAGTGAAGGTACAGTGGCTGCAACGGCGGGCGGGCAGGAAGGGCGCGGGGGCGCGGTCAGCATCGCTGCCTAGGCAATGGGACCAGCCACGAAGGGGCAATTCCAGAGGGAGCTTCCGAAGGGCATTTCCAATTCCCGTACTGCAGGTGATGCTCCAGCTGCAGAGCTGGGAACCACGACTCCAACCCGCCCTCCTCACCGATGCAGGAAGAACTGTGCCAGCTGCCCACGAGGCTGGGAAAGCCACCCGGGAGGGGAGTGAGCGGGCTGTCCTGGTGGCTGGCAGGGGGGAGACTGGAGAGGCTCTGCTGCCCCATTCTGACCTCCTTCCCTCCCGCTCCGGCGGTGCCGTCCAGGTGGGCAAAAAGCCCCTCCAGTGAAACATGCAGGGTGGGAGCACAGGGAGGCAAGGCTGCCTCTGCTACTCTGCATCAAACAACCCTGGGCCTCCAAGTTCATTTTGTTTGTTTGTTTGTTTATTACGGTTTTTAGATGCCACCTGTAATTAGTCACAGTCACTCTGTTTGCCATACAAAGTTCAGGGACTCATGGGCACTGCAATACGAGGCTTCCACGTTGTGCTTGTCCATGGCTGCTCAGCTCAGTCTACAATGTACTGAGGTCTGACTACTTGGATTTCCACTCTAACTGGTTCAGTAGGCCATCCTGAGACGTGTAAGCCGTCTCGAGACATTTTAGGGAACAGGATAGAAAAGCTTTTAATAAAATAAATAAATCAACGAGAGAGAGAGAGAGAGAAAGTTTCCTAGGATCAGGTTGCATTTGCCATGCTAACTAAACAGCATGACATAACAGGGAAAAGAGAAATAGGGCCCCTTTCACAGAATGGCACGTCACTAGTGCCAAGGGGGCAGGAGCACCAGTTCATGCTAGCTGTGCAGTGGACCCCATCCATTCCCACCAAAGAGGCAGCGGGTGGGGGTGTCGAAGAATGGAAGGCCCGGAAAAATAAAAAGGCTTCACGTTGTCGGCAGAGGACCATCCGAGCCGGGGCCAAGGGAACCTCAGTGGGAGAATGCTCTGCACCAGTGCACCACAGCCGGGCAAGCCCTTCCTCCAGTGGCCCACTGGGCTAATCTCGGAGGAGAGCCTTTGAAGATCAGAGGGGGCACGTGAGAGCAGGTGCATGCAAGGCCCCAAGCCCTGTGTGTGCGGCTTTCAAAGTCAGCTCCTGCACTTGGAAGCATGCCTGAGAACAGACCAGGAGCCAGTGCGGTTGCTTTGGCACCAGCAAAGAAGGTCCAGTACCCCAGACCCAGCTGGGAGTCGTAATTTTGAACTAGTCATAATTTTCTGGCAGCCTTCAAGGCAGCCCCTTGTATACTGCATTACAGTTGTCTTATTTGGCCTGCTGATAAGATTAACTACTGAAATTATTAGTGCAAGGCTGTTAAATGAGCTGAACATTTGATTAATCTAGTCCATAGTCAGTTTGCCATCAACAGAGGCCAGGATTTAGGCCAGCCAGGTTTCTGCTTCCTGTTTAAAACTGCAGCTTTTCAAGTCCCCACCAAAAGCTCCCTCCCAAACTCAGGGAACCGCCCAGAATGGCACCTCGAAATCTATCGGGGGGTTGCATCAGAAGGACTTTTGCTCCTGACTCAGTGTGCAAGCAGAAAAGCATCTCAGTCTTCCACAAGGATCTTTCATTCCCATCCATTACTGCCATTCAAAGGGGGTTCTTCAACATATGTTGAGATGACAATCAAAATACACATTTTTCAAATAACCTATCTGGAGTCTTTGGATATATGGTTTGTTTGTTTTTTCTCCTCCTCTGCTTTTCTTTATTCTGCTGAATATCAGACAATGGTCGCAATGCCAAAGGTAATGTAGAACATGTGTAGTGTATTGTCCAGTGCTTCTGAGAGCCACTTTCTTTGGCATGTTAATTTGCCTGCTGGATGAATTGTACAAATGCAACATTCTCATGCTAATTTTATTGGGCTGGTCACATGACAGACTTGGTAGAAAGTCGGTGCTATTCCTTTTGCTAATCTGACCACAAAGTAACACTAAACTGCCAATCAAAGGAAGCTGTGAAGGAATCAGCATCCCATGGATAAGCTATCTTAGAGACCATTGACGTGGTTCAGCTGATCACTTTAAGGCTTGCCAATTTCAGTGGGAAAGGTAATTATGTGCTTTGTTCTTTCCCAAAAAAATGGGGCTTCAAGGTGTTTAATGTGGTTTGTGCCCATATATATGAAAAGAAAGTGGACTGTGAATGCTGCCATTCCAAAATAACCACTAAAGCTTCCAAGATAAGAAGTGCATGTGCATGCACACACATGTGCGCACACAAACACACACACACAGAGCACAAAAGAGCTACACACTAGGCTTGTGATGAACAGCCATAGCAATCATGCCTTTTAAATCCAGTTCAATTCTACCTGTTACACAAGAAAATTAATGGATAATCTGGACCCTTGTGCCAATCTTCTCTTATTCCTGTTTTGTTTCCTTAAAACTAGTGTCACGCTCCTGGATGGCAGGGGGTATGGTTTAAGCTTACTGTAGTCTTCCAGTGTGCATGCATGAATTTCATTTGCAATTTCACGCAACAAGAAGTCTCGATCCCATATGTCGTATTCCAGAATTGGTCTTTGACACCCTCAAATGCAGCAAAATAGAGACTTTCCTCTTTTCAAGTATATATGATTCGGATCCGATTCATTGTGCTTTATTTGCACATTGACCAAAATCCCCCGATGAAAAGTTTCAGTGAACTGAATTCCAGTCATTCTGTTTGGAGTTGGGGGTGTGGGGTGAAGGAGGGCCCTGCTCATGTTGGTCCCCCCTGGGATTTCATGCATGTCGCGGAACAGTTTGTGTCGTCGGTCGGATGTCTCCTGTCAAAACTGCATGGTGTGCATGAGCCAAGGGCCACAGTGTCAGCTAAGGAAGTCCACCGTTGCTTCATTTGTCAGTCAGCAGCCGTTTAAATATACTGTGGTGATTTTATGTAAAGTGAAGTCGTATTTGTAAGTGACCTTGGTGTTGGTTTGAAGCATTATTTTAATGCCTTTCGTGGGAAAGTCTTTTTGAAGCAGCTTACCCAATAGAAAGCATAAACCAAATGAAATGGGAATGCAGTTAACTAGAACAGAATTAACTTTTCATTTCAATACAAATGTTTTATTAACTCCAGCAGTTAATAAAATAATTATGCAATGCTCTACAGTGTATAAAATGCAGAGCAGTGCCAGTATTCAGTCAGAAGTGAACTGAAATACCCAGGTCTTTAAGGCCCATTTAAATGTTGTCAGAGCAGGTGCCACACATACCTTTCCTATGGGAAGAACATTCCATAAAATCAAGGCCACCACTGAAAAGGCCCCGACTTTTAGGCCTCCCAACCTGAGATGGACCTTACTGAGAGGCCCTAAGGTCCATCTCAGGGCCTCCGTGGCTTGTCAAAGAGTCTGGACAGGCTCCTACGCCTGTTTTGGCTTTGTAAAGTATTACCTGCTGTGACAGGTCAAATTTTAATTACATCTATAAAGAGAAATTATAATAGACTGGAAGCACTATAGCAGAAGTGGCTACATATGACCTTCCAGATGCTTTGGCCTACAACTCCCATCAACCCTAGCCAGCATAATCAGTAGTGAGGGATGCTGTGGGTGTAGGGCAAGTCATCCAGAGCGCTACAGGTTATCTGATCCTGACCGAGATGTATCCCAAGCACTGCATGGCAAAAGAGACCCAAGATTTCCAAATGGGTTTGGAAAGATGTCTTAGTCTATTGTGTTCATTCAGGTAGCAGTTTGAGGACAAGTGCCAGTTTCAATACTTGTATTGCTTGGCATCCCCCCCACCCCCCCAATCAGAACATCTCTGTAGTAGGAAAATATTTGCCACATTTGCTTTCCCCCTGTCTCCTCTCCTCTTATGAGGTAGCATAAGTTGCCAGAGGGGTATTGATTAGCCCATGCTTCCTCTTGAGCTCCATGGCTGAGGGAGAGGTGCACCTGGGCCTCCCTGATCCAGGTCCAGCACTGTGGCCTTTGCCGCATGTAGGAACTATCCAGCAGTGCACAGCTTTCTATTATACCTATGAATTTTGCTCAAGAGAGCTGGCTAAGGGCATGCCCATACCAGTTCAAGATGGGGAAAACGGGTCTGTTTTGAAAGATCCCGGATCAACCTCTTCTCATTGTTGGTCCAGGTAAACAGCAATCCATTGGTCTCCACACCAGCCTGAGTCACTTAAACCTCTATGGCAACAGTCACGGGCCCCTCAGAGGGTTATGCCAAGGGATGGCCAGCATCATGGGCCACTCGGATGCCTTGTGGAAGAAAGGCTATTGCCACGGGTTTCCATACAGCCAGGCAGCAGCCACCAGTATTCACTGCATGCTGCCCCAGACCCTGGAGGGTGTCATTGCCAATAGTCACTGGTGCACAAGTCTGCAGTGAATAGAGCAGCGGTTGGCTATTTGTGGTCCTCCATATGCTGCTGGACTGCAAATCGCATCATCTCATCACTGTCTGTGCTGGCTAGGGCTGATGGGACTTCAGGCAGAGGACCCTAAAAGTCTTCTGTACTGTCAGTGCATCTAAAACAAACTCACTTGAGAAGTCCAGAATTCTCAATCTAGCCTGAATATCTGAACAACTTTCAAGTACGTTTATCTGGATGAAATCCAGTAGTGTCCATTCACCAATAAAATGGGCACTGTTGGCAGAACAGATTCCTTTTCTCCTATGAATCCTTCTGTGCACCCCCAAAACCCACTCTGATGTATTGGAGGAAAGCTTGGAGCAGAAGTGGCTCCCGCACTGGGGAGAAGAGAAGGTCCACTCATGCAAAACTGAATGGGAGTCTCTGCATGTGTTCCTTTAGGGCATTTATATCCCTCCTTTCTTGCCTCTAGTAGTTTGCATTTTTGTATTATCACTGCAGGAGAAAAATGACCTACATGGTTGACAACCAAGTGCTAGCAAAGTCTAAGCTGGAAATGTTAGCAATGCCCCATTTTTAACTATTAAGAAACTGGATTACCTGTTTTAAGTACTGCTTTTTGTGGTTCATGGATACCTGATCTTAGTGTTGTACTATACTAACATTTCCCCCCTCCCTTTTTTGGGCAGGTCCTTTTAACCATATCAAGTCAAGTCTCCTAGGATCTACGTCAGATTCAAACCTCAACAAATACAGCACCATCAACAAGATTCCCCAGCTTACACTGAACTTTTCTGACATCAAACCTGAAAAAAAAGGTTCATCACCTCCATCGTCAGAAAAAACAATTATCGCACCCAAAGTGAAAGACAGAACCCACAATGTAACTGAGAAGGTGACGCAGGTAGGAGCACCTTTGTCTTTCTCTAGATGGGCTCCATGAAATGTATATGATTTTGTCTTTTCAGTATACGCGACTAAACATCGCTAGGATCATCTGTTCTTGCTCATTCTGTTTCAATTACCTCCCCTAGGAGCCACATTCCAATACCCTGCTCAGGAAATTTTCGTCCACAGGTACACTTGTTCATCTGATTGCCTGTACACAAATATAATCCAAGTGGTAATACATGAACTCTTCTAGAATCTTCCATTGCTTATCCCACAGTTTTTTCCCACCCTGCTCTCAGTAAATTCCAGAAATTTTGCCAGTGTCAACATTTATTTATTAACATTTATTTCATTTCTGTACTGCCCCCTAGCTGAAGCACTCTGGTCAATTTACAACAATCCATTAAAGTAAGATAACACAATAAAATATCAAAAGAACAGAGAAGCAGTTAAAAGTTTAAAGCAGCTAAAAACAAACTACAGCAAAGAATGACTCTGACACCTGAGATGGGTAATCTCCCCAAGAATTTCTGCTAATTCTTACAGTTTGGTCAGTGGGAAATGTCAGAAAATGTGAACGCTGAATCTGTCCCTCTAGCATTCCCCAGATGATGAGGCTCTTTTCCCAGCCAGCCAGCCAGCCAGCCAGCCAGCATTTGATGGGTTTCCGACTTCGTGCCGTTTCCCCCCATTCTAAAAGGTTCAGTGTGTGTCCTGAGGCTTGCTAAGAGCTTTAAACATGCTGGCCTGCTTCAGCCCACCCCTTTTCCTTTGGCCCCACCCACCACAGGATGCAGCCCCTCCCTCCACCCAGAACGTCTCCAAATCTGAATGCAACCCCTGCCTTAAAGAGGCTCCATTTCCCTTAACAGAGCTCTGTGGTGGCTGCTGCATTTCATTGCTTGTTTTTTTTTTTTTTTTTGTATTTATATGTGGGATGTTAATGATTGTAAGCCGCCCCGAGGCTTCTGTGAAGGGGGCAGCATATAAGCTGTCTAAATAAATAAATAAATAAGTAAGTAAGTAAAATTGCTAAGAGCCAAAGTAGGCGTTATTTTAGAGATGCAGCCTGCAGCAGTGCTTCTTTACTCTAGTGTAAATGCAGTGGGCCAAACCCAGATTGGGACCTCAGCGTGAGAGTTGTGGCAGGAGGCTTTAATCTTCTCCTGACTGCAGCCCAAATCCAGATCTAGATGGGCTGGATCCCTTTGCCAGCTGGAATGGCTGCTTGTAAATCTACCCAGAAGAACTATTGAAGACTTCAAGTGGATCTCCTTTAAGGCTCCTTTTTTCTTTGAGATAATTTCTGGAACAACATTATAAATTGTGTGCAATGTTTGCCCTACACAGAGCAGACCCAGTGGAATGAATAAGATTTAAGTTATTTCAATAAGTTTATGTAGAACTAGCATTGGATACTACCCATTTTTATATATATCAAGAGTGGCTCTTAATTACTTGAATGAGGTGGGAACCTTCTCATCCCCTTCAAGATATATAACCTAGACTATTGGAAGAAGTGAGAGAATGAGGACAAACTGGCAAATATTTTGTTCTGTCTGCAGAATGGCCAGTGGCAAAAGCTGACTGGATGGCTTGTCTGTTTGCTTTTAACAAGACTCAAATTATTGCACTTTGTCTGACAACTGTAAAACATTTATTCTCTTCCAGAGCTGATTCAGTAAGTCTTGAATCATTTAAGCTTTGTGACCCTAAAAATCATTTTACTGTTTACAAACCTACTTTTGTAAGTTGTGACGGCATAAGTCCTGCTGCTGCTGAGATAATGCCACGCCAAATATGTCATCTGGATTTACTAGTTACTCCCTATCAGAGAGGAAAATTTAAAAGGAAAAAGTCAAACAAATTAATAGCCACATCATTTATACAGTTTATACAATCCTTGGCACTACTGAGTTTTGGTCACTCTGACCTGCAGGAAAATCAACAGCTCTCCAAATTTAAAATTTCTTCTGAAGTGCTTAGGAAATGCCAAGAATTCTTCACAGAATGCTTCCAATGAAATTTGACATGAGTTTTGTGTTTCTGTTCTCTCTATAGCTTTGGACAGTTCTTTTCCCAGTAAAATTCACAGGGACTCCATTTCTTATGAGGAGGAGAAAGCAATGAACAAAGCCTCACAGATCGCTTCCTTTCTCCCTGAATTGCCTCTTCTTGTTCATCATCTTAGTTATATACATCACCACCAGCATTAAATAGCTGCTACATATACAACTACAGCTTTGCATCCAAACAGTAACAAACTGAACACAAGTGAGAGTTCTGTTGAAACTCTTAGGGCCCATGAAGCATTGCTACAGAACAGTAAATACAACAACGCAAATATCCACAGTTTAAAACAGTTGAACTGTGACATATAGAAAATAAGTATTACCAAACAGCATCGGAATTTAAGAGCCGATTCCCAGAAACACAGGATTGTTACCTTCTCTGAAGACTAGAGTTTGCACTGTCAGCATTTCCCACCTGGTCACTGGTAAATGAAAAATGATGCTATAACCTCACTGGGTTATTAACCTGTCAGTTCTGAAGGCAAAGCAGACTGTGCTGCACTAGGCGCTCAAAGCGTTTGGCCACTTCTAGCCTTCATATCAGCAACTCTGTCCTTGCCATCGTCAGCTGCTGATAAACAGCTGTTGATAAACGGGGAAATTCGCCACTAGGTTTTCCGGCTAAAATCAAGCAAGGGAACATGGAATCTCCATGCAAGGACAGTAGAAAAAATAATGCTCATTCCATATTCTCATATCCTAGACCTGTTCTGCTCCTACATTGCAATTAATTCTTGAATTTAAGGCTGTTTCAAGGAGAGAAGTCTGTGAGGCAGGATGAATTCACAGATGTGTCTTTCTAGTCACTCCAGGGCTTCACCGTAGGTGAGGCTTACCAATGTCCAGCACTTCCTAGAAGGTGAACTTGCCAAAGGGAAACCGTCTCCTAGCCAGAGCTATGCCTCTTTTTCCTCGACAGGAAGAGAGAACAGAGCAAAAGAGAGCAGGCCACGTTGCATTTGGGGGGATAACTCAGCAACAGAGAACCTGCTTTGCCTGAAGAAGAACTCAGGATCAGTCCCCAGCCTCTGTGGTTAAAAGAAGCTGGTAGAAAGGAAGGAAAAGAGGCTTCTCTGTCTGGGGCCGCAGAAAACTACTGGTCTAGCTAAACAAAGCCAGTATTTTGACACAAGGTTGATAGTCTTCTGTTTCTGCATTCAGGTTTTTTGAGAAATCATATCCATGCACTACAGAAAGACTTCATTACCTCTAGGTGGCACTGTGGTGTAACAGAATAGCATGGATGTGCAAGTGGAAAAAGTCTCTTTTTTCACTTTTACACTTAATACTACATTTTTCTTGTTCTGAAAAAAAAACACTGAAAGTACCTTTAACAAACTGAAGTGAAGCTGTAGGGTTATAATGTAATTTTAAAAACTTGTAAACAACATGGGTAGGGAACAACAAGCACACATGTACCTCATACACATAAATACCTCATGTAATCTGAACTAACATAAGGCAGCATCGTATGCTACTAAGACAATGTAAAACACAACACAATCCAAACACATATAAGTACTTTTTATTAATAATTTTGCTGTGAATCTCCAAATTAAACCCAAACCTAAAAAAGTAAAAATAAAAAAGCTTTATTTCATGTAAGCTCTTATACAGTGCAAAAAAATCCATGGGATGGAGGTCACTAAGGTCTTCTCTAGGATGCTTTTTAGTCTATTCATCTTCTGCAAATGCATTTCATTTTGACGATCCCCTCAAACTCATTCACCTTACCAAGGGCAGAAGCCCACTGGCCCGCACCCACCCACAACACATCCCTTCCTCTCTTCCAGAGGTTGCCGAGTTTTCCATGGCAACCAGGAGGGACAGGAAGAAAGCCACAGTCGGATCTCCTCCTCCAAGGGGACGACAGCATCCTCCAGCCATAGGATTGCTCTGTTGCTCTGATTTTAAGGAAGAGATTCAAGCATATATTTTGACTGGCATTTACATACAGCCTGCTCCTCAGCCCCAAGTATCTCACAATTAAAATCCATAATAAAGACACCAGATGAGAAGTTAGGGATACATTACAAAGGGGAAAGAGGAGCTTTGGGGTGGCTGCTTCTTCCCTCTTTGGGTTTTGTATTGGCCTTGTCACAGTGTGCTTGGCTGGTTTTATTCCTCCTTAGTCATTTGCATTTTTAATCAAAGCCAGTTGCTGAGCCTTCATAAAATACACAATCAGTATCCTCATGACTGCAGTAAGGTCTTTTTTTCCCTTTGCATGACGAAAAACATTTCTCCTAATACTGCAGCAGAAATTGGGGGAAGTATTTCTCCCTCAATTAATCAAAACCATGGACAGAACAAGTTTCAAGTGAACGGATCTGTCCTTTTTGTAGAAGGCTTTGTAAAAGGTTTGGAGCTGTGTTAGTACAAACCTTTGCACTAACGTTGACATAGCCTGGCTTCACATAAGATGGGAAGCAAGCCTGTGCTGTTTCCACACTGCATGGATTTTTGTCCACACTTACCAATCAGATGATTGTGTGGTTGGTTCCCCAGGCAGTGCGGTTTCTGCAGTCCCTGCCCAGGCCTCCCCAGGCATCCTGGCAGACCCCGTGAGTGAAACCCCTGTCCCATTTTTGCCTATGGCCTGCTGCTGCCTCCACCTGATTGGCCCTGAGGCGGGCTCTCCTTTCCCCCTCTGAGTGTACCTGCATGCCTACGGTGCTTCCCAGCAGCTCCAAAGATCTCTCTGAAATGAAAAAAGATAATGTATTTATTTATTTTAATTTATATGCTGCCCACTAGCCCTACAGGAATCTCCAGGCAGCTTACAACACACAATATCACAAATACTAAAACACTTAAAAACAATAAAACCACTTATATATAAAAACTGGAACAATATAACACTTGGCCATTAAAATTGTATTAAGGGAACAGGACAACAATATATAACAACAGATTAACAAGTCAATTTAAAATCAATTTT